TGGATGGATGGATGGATGGATGGATGGATGGAGCCGATGTGCACAGATGTTTCCATGGCAGTGGGCAGAATGAAGTCTTCTTGATGCCTCCCCTCTCCCTGTTCAGTGCTGTGCCTTGTGCAAATTACCTCCTTTCATCTAGCTCAGGGTTAAGTTTCACGTTTTAATGATTAATAATTAATCAAATGCATTTGAAAATTAATTTGGCAATTCTACAACTGATTGGCATGGTAATCTCTTCTGTGCAGCAGAAGAGAACTCAGATGTTCTGAGCTGCTGACTGAGGTGAATGCATGAGGGCATTTACTGTCACATGTGGTGCAACATAAAACAGTGAGTGGAAACAAAAGCATTCTTTGAGACCCCTCTGCAACTCAGAAAAGGTGTGATCTGCATTTTGCCTTGCCTGTATTAGGAATATATCATTGATATTATCATGTCTAACAAAAAAACCCAAATGGACAAATTTGAAAAACTCCCCCACAGTTGATTTATTACTGTTTAGCTGGTAGCAACTGCAGTGGATTCGATGCATTAATTATGGGACTGAAAAGAAAAATCACAAGGAGAGTAACTTTTGCTCTTTCCAGATGTCCATGCCACTTTTCTCCAAAATAACACTCATCTGGTAAAAGGGGAGGAGAGGGGGTGTGCAGCTTCCACTGGGCACGTGGTCCCCGCTAGTTTCGAGCGACAAGTCCCTTTTTACAGACGAAGAGCCCCGCAGCAGCCACAGAGGTGAGACACAGGGTGCAGCTCAGCAGGCACAGCAGCCCCGGCGCCGAGGGCAGGTTCCTTTCCCAGAAGGTGGTGGTGAATGGTTGGGCTGGGACATCCTGGGGGAGAGAGGAGATGGTGACTCCACAAGGTCCCCCCTCACCACAAGAGCAGGGAGGTGACAAATGCCGTCCATGAGGTTTTTTTATCAAGGACCAGATTGTGCAGGGAAGAGTCATGGCTGTGAGATGTGTTTTCTGTCATCCTGACCAGCCATGGGACAGTGGAGATGGAATTACTTGTGGCTGGAATGAGGTTCTAGTTGGCTTTAAACCATGGCCTGGGACTGGGCAGAATTAGGCTGCATTTTTCAGTCCCCCAGGCTCTGAGATCACTGTCCTTGGCTCTTAGTCACCCACCCTTCAGACATGGGTAATAATATTCCTTGAACAAGACACAGAAATTAATACCATCAGCATGGGAGGTGGCTGAAGCCTTGCCTGGGAGCAGGGTGCATGGGAATCCCTGAAACAGGGACACACCTGACTGAGGGGTGTGTGCCTGACTGGGTGACAGTGATACTCTGGCTTACCTTTGACTCCGGCTCTGGCATCCAAATTTCACTCTTGGAGATCTTCCCCATACTGTGCAGTACCTAGAAGAAAAAAATTATTTGTACTATGTGAAAAAATTATAACCCACAACTCTTCCACTTTTAGAGAAGGAGAGGAAGTCAGAGCAAGGTGACATTGATAAAAGGTGTAACTATGACTAGATGAATGTCTCTTGAACCAGAAAATGTACAGTGGTTTCTACTAGAACGTCTCTAAATATTTTTTGTGTGAGGTTTTTAGTTTTGGGGTTTGTTTCTGAGTTACAGTGCTTTTTCTCAGGGCAGTTTGAGAAATACCAAGGTGAGGTTACTACCATGCACTTGGGACACAAAACCTGTTAGGAGTGATGCTTCTGGGACATAGAAAGAGGAGAGATGCAGCCCTGAGGCTCTCACGGCACAGAATTATGGAGCCCTCCCTCTCCTATTCAGGCAGTACAAAGCTCACCAAGGATTTTTCTTGAGAATAAACTGATTGTAACAATCATGGGGATTCTTGGGGGCGAACGAATGCCTCCAGAAGACAGCTCACTGTCTTTGTAACTACTGCTCACAGGCACAGAGAAAAGAAGAATTAGGTGACTTGAAATGAAGCAAGTAATAAGGATTATAAGGCAAATGTGACATTCTGTCAAATGGAAATAAAAGGGATTTTAAGATTTTCTCTTAAACAACAACTCTGTGGCTTTGCAGTGCAGCAGTTGTAACTGCAATGTGCACCCTTTAATGCTTTTTTCCCCTCCCTCCAGATTGTTGTAAAGGGATTTCACTGTGACTGGGAACCCAGCCCAATGTGTGTCATTCTGAGAAGATTTAGACATTATCAGAGCTGCACATTACAATTTCATAAAGCTCAGCTAACAGGACTGTCTTGTAAAAATAGAAGCAGAAGGGATAGATCAGAAACGAGAACAATGTTCAGATTTCCAGATTTCTGCACAGGAAATAGCTGTGAGCATTTGAAATTACTTAGATTAGTTTTAAAACATGCAGTGATTAACTTATTAGAAATTGAGGTAGTGTATCTACAAGCAGGATCAGGTTGGGTTTTTTTTTCCTCTAGACATGCAGCACATAGCATAAGCTTTATTTTAAGTCTCCAGTTCAGTAACATTCTGATTTAGTTGAGATTCTTGGCTTCACTTTATTCAACAACTAATTAAGTAAGTTTAAAAAAATAAAAATACTTTGGCCACGTTGTTTTCTGGGATTCCTCCCTGTCAATTCTAGGAGCCTTTGCATTAAATCAGGCCCACCAAGCTGTACTTAATCCTTTCTAGCCTTTTGATAGAGATGTTGGAAGCAGAGCAGTGTACCTCTCTGGCTGCTCTCTCTCCCGCCTGCACGGCCCCCTCCATGTATCCGCTCCACTGGCTTGCTGTCTCCGTGCCAGCAAAGTAGATTCTGTCAACAGGCTGGCGAATGATCCTTCAAAACAAGTGGAGAATGTCAGGTGACAAGTGACAGGAAAGCAATGATCCTTCTAAAAGCAATCTATGGCTTTGATGGAGTGTGTGGCTTCAGCTCTCCAGAATCCCTGCAGACCTGCTGTCCCTGCAGGACCACCTGCTCGCTTCTGCGCCCAGAATTCAAGATCTGAGAGAGAGAAAAACCTAAGGCATAAATCAGTGTTCCCAGCTTCCATGCCAAGTAATACAGGCCTTATTTTAGTGCTGAGATAAGGGATAATCCTAACAGCCTCCAGCAATGCAGTGCAGCTGATAGATTTGTCTTCTGCACAGCAGCCTTGCTGTTATCCTGCCATTACTGTGGAATGTGAATGATGTTTTTGCAGTGATAGATCACTAATATTAGCCTCTATTTGGAGGCTGGACTTGTCTGGCTGCTGAAGGCCTGGCATTCAGGGAGCTGCATTCACCCCACAGGGTCATAAAGCCAGTCCCTCAGCCCTGCAGTGCTGCACAAGCATTCCAGCCAGCCCAGCTGTAGTGTTCCTCCACTGGGAATGTGCTCCCATCTAATCCCCCAGTAGGTTCTCCTTGTCTGCTTGGCAACCAGAGGCTGCTGGAGGCCAGACACCTCACCCATCACTGCCTGAGTGTTTGGATCAGTGACAAGAGAAGGGCTTGTACATGGGACGACTCCTCCCCACATGCTCTCATGCTGGACATGGGGAGGAGCTCCTGGGCTTCTCCTGAACCACCTACACAGTCAGTGGAGACCCCTCATCTGTCCAAGATATGTGTCCTCATGGGCTTGGGGGTCTCCAGAGGGTTCCATTGCAAATTCTGCACAGCACAAACTACTGTAAATAATCCAGAGGGGAAAAGTTTTGTGGCTTTAGCAGGTTCCCTTTGTGACTGTGTTTTGTTTATTTGAAAGGCACAAGGGAAATTCTGCTCTTAGTAAAGTAAATAGCAAGATCCTTGTTAGATGGGGAGTAGGGGAGTGGAAAGAGTGTTGAAGTTCCCCATATATTCTAAATATGCCATATTTTTTTTGCATAAGGTATATATGTGAGCTAAGAAATGTGAATTTGAAAGCAAAGCATTCTCTGTTTTACCTGCCATAGGAATGCATTATGCCTGGTGGGAAGTAGGCTGTGTAGCAGCCCCCTGAATATTGCTCCATGGTCCAGTTCTTCTCTTCATAATGCACAGGCTGTGAGTATCAACAGAGAAAACAGTGAAACACTCAGAGAAATTGGAAATAACATTTCTTTTGAAGAGGGGGGAAAAAACAGGCTAAGAACACCCGACAAAGGAGTGCCATGGCATCTGGCTAATCCTATCCATCTGCACAAAACAAAATTTTGTGCTTTTACAGAAACACCAGTCTCCCATGGGTACATGACAGGACAAATTAAAACATGCACTGCCTTCTCTTTTCTTGTGCAGGGTGAGACTGGCAGTTCTTTTCTTCCTGTACTCCGTGCTGCCCTCCCCTTGGGAACACAAACTGTGGCACAACATGCAATTCTAGGTACACATTTCAAGGTGCCAGAGAACTTTGGCACTTGAAGGAACTTGCCTTTATCATCCAGAAAAAAAGGAGAAACATTATTGTGCAACAGAGGCAAAAACAGACATTAATTCCTTACTTGTAAAGCCTCTTTCATCCCCAGTGCCTTGGCATATGCCTCACAGATCTTCTTTTTCCTATATGAAGATAAAATCAGAGTCAGAAAAAAAAAGGGTGGGAGGGGGAAGCTCCCCACTCACATCTTTCTTATAAAAAAAACAAATTTATTGCAACACATTGGAAAGCAAATTAGGTAAGGCTTTAAGTCTGATTTCAAGTTCTTAACATACATATTTCAAATGCTGATGCCTAAAAGTTACATCTAAAATGGACTCAGGGAATGGGAAATGAAGGTTGATTTTGGCAATGAGGTCTACAAAAATAAATCTTTGTACAGCTATTTCAGGATGCAGAGGCAATTCATTCTCATGTTCACTGGTGTAAGACCAGAAGAAAAGCAATATAAATCAATTAAATCCCTACAGATTTACTATAGCTGGGAATAAAATATGAGCTGAAGAATGCTGCTCACATTCCTAAGCAGAGCTCCTCTTTCACTTGCACAGTACCAAAAGTCACATTTAGAAAGTACTGTTTGTTCATTTCACTGACTAATGGGAAAACTATGCTTTTGCAAACGCAGAAGTTTAAAAATTTTATCACCTGGTCTGAATCTGAAGACCCAAAAGGAGACATGTCAGCACTCCTGTATCCCTGGGTTAAAGCATCATTCAGTGGAGATGTAGTTTGGGAACATGGTTGGAAAAACCTTCTCTGTTCACACTGAGACCCAGAATTGGTAAATCATAGCATGGAAGAGTGGGCAGGACTTGGAAATTTAGAAATATCCATAACTGGATGAATATTAGCATTAGCATCTCGGCCTGTTTATGCTAAAATGTCAATTTCTGCCCCAATTTCCAGTGCTGGTAGTTGCACTGAGCATGTATAAATGTGCATATTCACACACATATTCACACACATTCCTGTGGGGAAGCATCCCAGAGAAACAATTTGCTTCTGAATATCTACAGCTTCTGAACTCTTACCTCTCTTCCTTGCTGAGATGGGCCAGTTTGACAGCCTTTCTGGTAAGGATGAAACTGAAAATAAAAATAAGGCATGTGAACATCACCCCAGCTGATATGCAAGCTCTTGCTCAAAACGACTCTAAAAAGGGAAAAAATCAAAGCACTTTTCTGGTATGTAATGAGCTTCATGTTTGTCATCATCCCTCAGCATTTAACAATTACAGGCCACACATGAAAAAGCCTGTGCAGGGTAACCTGCAGAGTTAACTGAAAGGGAGGGTGTGCATTCCCAGAGGGCTCTGATCCAAAAGGACTGAGACCCTGAGCTTTCTTGAGCTTTTGAAATCCAGCAGGCAGCTGCCTGTGCCACTTGGTGTTAGTAAGTGCTGGCAGCCTGCTGCTCTTACAGGCATGCACAGTGTCATGGATCACTCCTGCAAGAACTGGGATCAATATTTATTCATCTTGAAGGAAACAGATTTGCCAGTCAGTTCATCTGACCCTAGTGGAGATATCCAGGGGATGAAGTATGTTCCTACACTCTTTTAGAAAGTCACATAAATCCGTGAGGAGGAAGAAAGCTGGAAGCTGTTTGCCATATGGGGTTTGGAGGAGGCTTGCTGCTCTCAGGTCATGGAAGCTTTTAAGCCTTGAACATGCCCATAAACATGTACAGTTCAGTAGAAATGGTGAGCTTCCCCTGCCAGACACTTAAGGAGTAGTTGCCTGACATTTATTTATATTGGCCTTTTTTTGGCAGTCTCACCTCAGATTACAGTGGAAAGACTTGTAAAGATCGTTTGTTCATTTGGTTTCAGCTGTTTTAAAAGCCAGTCAATGCTGTCATGTATTTTCCCCCGTTTGTCCAAACTGTAACATTTTTACTCGTCAGTTTCTACAGAATCTTGATTTTTTCACTGCACAGTTGCCTCCCTGCTCCAGCAGCTGATGTTCCTTGTCCTGCCTCAGCTCAGTGGAAAGAGGAGACAAATGAGGATTTCTTGGACAATTGCAGTGTCATTTTGGACCAGGCACTAAACATAAAAGCCCAACATAAGCCAAACACAGGTTCACACAGGTAGGTATGAGAGGGAGTTATTTCTAAATCTAAAAAGGGGCAAAAAAAAACAAAAACAAAAACAAAACAAAACCATGAACTGAATGCTTAAAAAAAAACTACAGCTAAATTCAGCAAGTCCTTCCCAACCACATCCTTTGTATTAGGCTGTTTTATTAGAACCTTCTCCAGAAAGTTTATATGGACTAGAGAGGCACTAGAGGCTTGTCAGAAGTGTTCTCCTCCATCTGTGCAAACAGTGGAAGTGGCAAACACGGATGTAACCTGGTCATTTCCCCTCTCCCTCCTTCTCCCACTATCTCTTACAAGAGGAAATACACATCTGTGAGTGTGGGCTAGCAGCTTTTACCCCATAATGGCAGGAAAAGTTCCATCAGGTTTTGTGTCATCTATGGTTATTCCAATTGGAGACTCTTCATCCTCAATGATGAAGGAACCACAGTAACCTAAGGGAAAAGAAACCCCAAGATGATAGCTGTAAAAACCTGTTGATGATCACTGTTGCTGATAGTAATGAGCAAGGAAAATTATCCATAAAAGGAACTGTACAGTAATTCTGTTATTACCAAAAACACCTACATGTCTGAAGTGTCTCTCTAACAGTTTCTCAACCCTCTTCTCTCTGACTCTGGGAAATCAAGAGATTTGTTTGTACACAAATTTGTAAAAATCTTTAAAATTCCATTGTTACTTAACATGGAATTTCCACAGATTGCTGCAAGTCCCTTTGGCTTTCTATTTTGGGGACAATAAACACTAAAAATAAATTGATCTAGTCAGGGCTATGGTGATTCATTCCATGAGTAACTTTGACCAAAACAAAACCCAGTGTAATTACATCTGGTCACTGCAGGCTCAAATTTACACTATTTTGATTTTTCTGGTGATAAGATTGTTAGGAATGGTGTTCCATAACAGCAATGTACAGAAGCATGGGCTGTCTAATCTCAGATCACATCATGATGTGATTCAGATGAACATGTGAAAAATCTCATCTAGAGAACAATGTATACACCTGACTGCATTCCTGCCTAATCTCAATGGCCAGTTTATGGCCTGAAACATGCAAAAATTATATTACTTTGATTAAGAAATATTCTCACCACTCTCAATATTGTTAGGAAGAAAGTGGAACTAATCTGTTCATACAAATAGTTATGAAAATGGTATCAGTTAAAGCTGAGAAAAACAAGATTATTACAGCATGGAAAAAATATCTTGAGCTATCCAAAATGCTAACCTACTCTTCCCAGTCCTCTGAGATATCAAGTCTGCAGAACAGAAGATTAAAATCGGGGAAAGGTCTTGCTTATACCTTAAGCTCTGCTTGTCATCTGCTGTAAATTCTCTTTGCCTGACCTAACTGTCCCTGCCAGGAGGAGGAGGGAGCTAATGCTGCAGGGAGGCTGATGCTTCTGTGCTCTGTAGATTTCAGCAAGGTTTCCCAGGGAAACATTGCTTGTTCTCCTGGTCATCCCACTTCAGCCAACTGCAATAGGATTCGGGATCCTGCTTGGATCTGGACTCACCCTTGGGACAAGGCATGCACTCAAGCTCAGAGAAAGAGTTCTGCTCTCTAAGGAGCTTTACTTTTCACTTTTCTGTATGTTTGATTTTGGGGTTTTGCACATTTAATCCTCCTCTGGATTTATTCCCTGATTAGCACTCTGACACCATTCTCTGACAGCAGAACTTCAAAATTTGCACAGAGTTCCCAAGTCCTCCACTTTTCCCACCTACCCTTCCTCCTCCAGAAGGCTTCCCTGTAGTACATCATGCATTTTATGACACTCCCCATAGGCAAACGCTGAATTAACTGGTTTCTCTTTGGTGGCAGCTCTGGTTTGTAATGCATCTTTGTTGTCAGGATTGGAGGGATGGCACTGATCACGTACTTGCCCTGAAATGCAGAACAAAGTCAGCACAAGGCGCTGCCTCCCAGCGAGCTCATCCCACGGGACAAGTTTGAAAGACACCTTTAATAGCTGCTAACAGCTTTCTCACATCTGACCCTGCTAGGTGGCTTTCCCACACACTTATTTCCAGGTGACAAAAGTAATTCTGACATCTCAGAAAAAAGGAGCTGGAAAAAAGAGATCAGAGTTGAAACTTGGCTGGAGACAGGTAGGGAAATGGGACAAGAGACATCCTATGGCTCAGGTAAAACTGCCTTTTATCATCTCCAGGAAAATATGGCCCACATTTTTCCCAATTATAAGATGTTAAAAAAATCACATTTGTGCATATTCACAGGATGTTACTTCAGGACAAGGAATACTGATGGTGATTCCAGCTGCTCTGAATGTGCTCCATCCTTCTCACAGGCCCTGGGTCTGACTGGAGCAGTGCAGGGCCCTGTAGGGTGACACTATGGCACAACACTGCTGCTCTCAGGTGCTCTCATGCTGGGGCTGCCACTGTGGGCAATCATGTGCTGATGGAGCATTTCAAAGCACCACGGTAGAGAGGAAAAATCTTATTAAATGTGCTTGAAATGTCTTTTTTTTTTTTTTTTTTGTGCTGTGAACCACAAACTTAGACACAAATAGGAAGGTTATTTTTCTTTCCTTTGAAATGGTCTCAATGCAGAACTAAAACATAAAAATATATGAAGACATAGAAAGTTAAGGTAGAAAAGTCAGAGTAATGACAGAAGCCAAGTAGCAGGACACCAAGAAGAGAGGCAGTCATTAAATCTGGAAAGCAGGGTCCATGGAGTGTCAGCACAGTCCAAGAAATAGACACACACAAATGGGTGCTTCCTGATTACATCTGGCCAAGAGCTACAGCAGATGTATCCCCCTACTAAATGCATATTCCACTTTTATTCTGATCGAATTACCTCATATATCTCATGGTTTAGAGTCTCCACAAGGACATTATCACCTGTCTGGTCGATACTGATCACAGGTCTCTCCAGTTTAACTCTGCCTTTGAGGCGTTCCATTATTTTCTCTGATATCTGACCAGAACCCCCTTTAAACTTCCTCTCCTAAAACAACAAAGAGAAAAGAAACACAAACAAAAAATCAACAGCATTATTCACAATGACATTGAATATGACTTCTGCTCACCATCATAAAATTCCAGGCCAAATCTTCAGGTCCTAAGGGTGCATAAAACACCCAGACTTTCAGAAGAGTGAGGGCATAGATCTGAGCCTCAGTGGGGATCACTGACTGAACCACTTTTGCAATGGCTTCCCTAATGACCTGGCCTAAAGACTCTTTAAGCCTAGAGAACATGAACATTAATGCAGGCTTTCTAGCAAAAATAAACATATCACTTCATTCAAAACAGGTTTTGAGTTTTTTACCCGCCACGGTGCTATCAAAACCTCCAAGTGTTAACAAAGAAACTGACTGTAAAGTGAAACATTGTGCCAGCCCAGAAGCAAAACAGATCTTTAACTGGGTCTGGTCTCGAGGTAATGAGCTTTCTCTGTCCCTGGGAAGACACAAAGGAAAAAAAGGAAGAAATGTCACAATCTGTGACACACATTTCCCTGCAATGTCCGTGCAGAGGGTCAGGGGAAGCACTAAAACCTCTTTCATCTACCAGCCACCAGCAGTAGATAAAGCATCTCACTTTTATGTGCAAGATGATGGTACAGGCAGGGAGGAAAGGATCCATAAAGTTTCATGCTGAAAGACTGAAATGGCTACCCAAGCAGGTTTTATAAGACTTGCCAGGGCCACTAAGCCAGAATTCCTCAGTGCTTGTGCTCAGCTAAAATTGATTGGGGTGAGGGAAGAAGGAAGCATGATAGGAACACAGACAGCTTTTCCAGCTACAATCCAGCTACAAAGAAAAGAAAGTGCTCTTCCCAGGTAGCTTTCCCTTCTCCACACGTTTCATTTAGCCATGAGTATCTCGGGATTAATTTTATTTTTAACTCTTGCTGCAGCACCTAGCAGTTGCTGATGTGGGACAGCAAACATGACTGAGGGGCTCCTGAGGAGGAAGACTCTTAGTCAGGTCTGTCTCCTACCACAGGAGAGCATCAGCACTGCTTACATCCTTCCTGACACGTGGGTCTTACAGCAATGGACAGAGGCTGATGGAAACTGTTGCCATGTGAGCTGGCCCAAGAAGGAAGGGCCTTTTGCTATTTACGACCAACTCTTTTCATTAGAGGCTTCAACACCAAAAAAACACCCACATTTCACTCTGGAGTACACTTGTTCTGAACTTCTGTGAACACTCAAATGTGCCAAGTAACCCACAGAAAATAAATTGGCAAAAAAGCAACACAACTGCAACAACAGTACTGTGCTGAAGTGAATGCAGAAAACCCCCAACTGTTTAAATAGTCCACATTTATTCCACATTTTAGCTAATAAAATTAGGGCTAATCCTAATTAGGATTAGGGCTGTATCACCCCATGAGAACACATTTCCCTCTGGCCCCACATGCTCTCATCTTTTCATTAATTGCAGGGTTTGGATGGGTACAACAGTGCACTTGCTCATTACGATTTCGAGAGAGGAGGAAGGAAATGAGACATTTTGTACCTGGCCCCCATTGGTGATAGAGAAAATCCTGGATGTGCCCCCACACTGCCTCACATACCACAGGAACCAGAGGGCAGAGACTTCGTGAGGCTCAGACGTGACGTTGACGTTGACAAAGACCGTGGCGAAGTCTCTGACAGCTCTGCATGAGACACAGGACCAGGAAAAGACTATGAGAAAATATGACTTCCTGACTGCTTTCAGGAATTTATTTGTCATACTAAACAAGGGCTGCTTTCCCAAAGTCCGAAAAGTCAAGATGTTTAATATCTGTTTTATTTTTCATTCTGTACTGAGTCTGTTCAAATGGGTTCCTACCAGCATCTCCCTCCCTCCCAAAGTATTTACCCATTTAGTTTGAATTCCCACTGATTTCACCTCTAGTTAAATAGTTTCCCAGCTGCTATTCCTTTCATCAGAACAAATACTTTTCTCAGCAGAAGAACATTTTTTGTAATCTGTTAGTGAAACTTTTCTGCATTTCTCATGGGGAGCACATCAGTTCCAGGGTCTGATGGGTCCTGAGGGACTGAAGCAGCCACACAGCCTGGACATTCCCCACTGACAGTAACAGTGCTGCACTGATCTTTTGTGAAATCAAGAATTAGACTTGGTAAATAACCCAGACACAGAAACCAAATTAGCAATCATTGCCATAAAAATAAAGGAAGGGTCACCTGTCTACCAGAGTACGTCCTCTGAACATAAATAGAGAAACAGCAGAAGGAACAGAGGATCTGGCTATTCACATTACTTGCATTTGTGGCCACAGATTACTAAGAAAATTGAGAACATTTTGCAAAGAAGGTAAAAGGACTTTGACTTCGATGAAGCTTCATGAGACAACATGAATTTATAATCATCTGATAAAGGAAGGAACTTTGCAAGTTGTCTGTGCTAAAATATGTAACTTATAAACTTTTATAACCTCATTTCCCTAAGTATGAAGTTCATTCAGCCCTATTTCATTAGCCAGGATATGAAAGCAGCCTGCACACAAGAACCCCCTGTGACAATTCTGAGAGTACCAAGACACTAAGCAGTTGCAGCAGGTTCAAGCCTAAGAAATGTGACAGAAGTCTACAGGATCAGTAGATGCTGATCTGTGACACAGGACAAACAAATCTTTTGTAGTCTTGGTCCTGAGTCATACAGAAAATGCTATGGAAAAGTTTTTCTCTTTAAGCACTGTTTTTTAACTGTGTAGGAAAATGTGACTTGGCTTAAAAAATCTAAAATGGGTTTTTACTGAGTTTTTGAATAAGCACATCCATTAAAACTGGATGTTTTATTGGCAGTAGAAGCTGCCCAGCAGAGAAGTCTGTTAAAGGAGGGATCTCTACGAACCCAGTCCTGCTTATGTTCCACCAGCTCCATGGCTAAAAGCAGCAGTAAAACTAAAAGAGGAAGAGTCAGTGCATTTGCAACAGCAGTTCAAAGTAACCAAGTCTGCAGGCAAAAGGCTCATAAAATTAATTGCAAAGAAAACTCCAATGCCACAGAGAGCACAAGCAAGTCCAAATGGCTGTACAGCATATCCCATGGAGCTGGAGCAAGACCTAAGCCATAAAAACGAATTTCAAATGGAAAGATTTGGTCAGGAAGCTGCAGGCACAGCACTAAACTGCAGTCAGAAGGAAAGGACAAACAGAGCACAGCCACACAAATAAAAGACACTGAAAAGGAGGGAGGAGAGAGAGAACAGCACAGGGCCTAGCACAGCAAGCAGGGACATGAGTGCTCACAAGAGCACACTTCTCTTTGCCTTATAAAGAGCAATGATTGAAAAGAGAAAGGAAAGAAAGAGAATTCCCAGTTGTCATCACCTCAATGGATTGAACATTGTTCCTTTTTTTATTTGTACAGTGCAGTCCCTCACAGAAAATACATTGGTCATTTTATAGATGGTGCAACACCTTGAGCCCTCTTCCTACCAGCTCTTGTTGATGTTCTGTTGGATCTGTTACTGACAAACAAGGAGGACCTGTGGGATGATGCAAAGCTGAAGGGCAGCCTTGGCTGCAGTGGCCTGTGGAGTTTAAGATCCTGAGGAATACTCCAAACAGCACAACTGCAGCCCTGGAATTTGGAAGGGCAGGTTTCACCCTCCTCGAGGGCCTGAATGTCTCATAGGAAACTATTGTGTAAGGCAAAGAGCCACAGGAGAGCTGGCTGGAGTTCAATGATCCAATGGTTTGAAGTGAAAGGATGTTGGGAAGAGCTCACACACCACTGCTGTGTGCAGGGACCTGCTGAAGCAAACCCCAGGCTCCCCCAGTACTTCTGATGCCACCTGCCAGCCAAGCAAAGCCCATCTCAAACACCTCCTGCTCTGTGCTCAGCTCTACCACAGAACCTGACAAAAAGCCACCGTCATTCCACAGCTGGAACTTCAAAGCAGGTAAAGATTTACACACTTGGTCCAGCAAATCTTATTTATCAGCTCTTTCATGGTCATTTTGTCCCATTCTTCAGCATGTGGAGCATCCCATGGAGCATCAGCAGGAATCTGGAGACAGAGGTGAAATATCCAAGGAATTATTCAGTACTTCACCATTGCCTGGTCATAGCTAGTTAGTAGCACAGATTTAATTGATATGCTGGCCGGGAGTTACCTTTGTCCCCTGCACATGGATAATTTTGGAAATTCACTAAATGGAATAGTTTCCATTCACACCTTAGGGCATGAATTGTACCACGACCACCAAATCTGTCTTTGTCTGACCAGTGAACCATATCCTTCTGCTGGGACTCATCTGGATTTTAGTTGTCCAGAAGCAATTCCAATTTAGTGGTGTCTTGTAGAAGTTGAGGGGAAAGTTCTTTATCCAGTCAGTTCTAAGATGAGTATCCAAAGGCTCCTATGTCTCTCTGCTAATTGCAGAGTAAAAAAAAAAAATTATCTAGATACTTTTCAAATATTTTAGGCAGTTAAATTATTAATAATAATTCTTTGCAGTAAGTAATATGATGTGGAGGATACTACCATATTCCTAAAACTTTAGAAAATGTACTATTGACCAAAAAAATGTGTAGCATAATACATAAATTTGATTCTGCAAAACCACATAAAATCAATGGAATTTGCAGGAGTACAGTGAGTTATGCTTGAAGATTCTGGTAAGGTAAAGCCCTTGGTTTATGTCTAGATTATATGGGAGCTGATGAATATTTGAAAGAGAGTATAATGCTCCAGGGGCTGCAGTTGTACTGCTTATATCTTGAACTTTAAAAATAAAGTTCCTGTGAAGTCAAACTGGAGCCTAGCTTAGGCAGCTACAAAAAAAAATAATCATCTTTACTCAAAATGCTGTCACAAGGGAAGAAGAAAAAAACCCTCTAATCTCCCAGCTCATGGGATATTTTTTCCTGTCATGAGAAAATACTTACACTGAGTTCAACCTCTTTTTTTCAGATATCTTAGATACCTCCAGATCTTTCTGTCTCCTCTCACAGAATCATAGAACAGTTTGTGTTGGAAGGGGCCTTTACAAGTCATCTAGTCCACCCCCCTCTCAGTGAGGAAGACCTATTATTTCTGACAATTCCTGGGAAATACAGAAATCATTCTGATGGATGTTTTCTTTCTGTTTTGTTTTGTTGTTGAGGGTTGTTTGTTTTTTTTTTTTTAATTTTAAAGAAGCAATAAAAAACCCTGCCAGAAAGAAAACAAAAACCTGATTTATTCACGGTGACATGAGCATTGTAGGAAACACTGAATTTTCACAGCCTACCTCTTTTCCCATCTTGTCCATGGTTCTCCAGAAGTTATTGTAATCCAGATAAACCAAGGGATTCCATGTTGAAGGGCAAATTCCTGTGAAATTTCGTGACTTTCCCTGAAATGCACAGAAAACCACAAACAACTGAAATACAACAGAGCACATCTTCATTACTCAAGAACACAAAATTCTCAGAGCCATCATGTGTTTGGCCTTTGGCCCCAAAAGACCTGGCTGGGTTTTTGTTTTCTTCTTTTTCGTTCTCCTGCGTATGCACCAAGCAATGGAACGTGTGTTGCTAAGTAGGAGGGCTGAAAACAGCTGGACTGGCATTAAAAATGACAATAACACATTTTTATACCCACTATTCTGAAAGGGTGGGGAGGGGTACATTTGTTCTGAGCAGGTTGTCAAATTCTGGGCTAAGGATACTCAAGCCATGGCCAAAGAGATAATATTCCTCGTTCCTAAGAATCCTTCATTATTACATTTAAATGAATCTACTACTTGCCTGCTGCTGAAATGTGCTTCCTGAAATTTGTGTGGGTCTAAAATTGAATGCATTTCAAACTATTTAGGCACCTTTATGGTACACCTCACCTTAAAAGCAACCTTACCTCTATATTATTCCATGGAAATAACCTAGCCTATAAGAAAATATCTGAATGGGAAGTTTTTGGTTGCAGGAAGAAAAATATTGTACGCTTGCAAAAATGATGTCAGTACTTACGATGTGTGTGACACAGAGCTGCTATTATCTGAAACTGTTTCAGATAATCCTGTGATATAATGATAAGAGAAACAACCTAACAGCAGCTGCTTCTTTGTGATAACTTTAATCTGAAAGAGGAGGGGATCAGCAGGTAATATTTTTTCTTATTAAATTGCTTTGGACCTTGCCCCATGTAAGTCAGTGTGAATTTCCCATCAGATCTCTGCTGTCTGCCTTTCCAGATGTGTCAGAAGTTGGAGTGAGGATGCAGGGAACACTCTGACCATGACAGGTAGGAGCTGTGGTGCTAAAGCAGTTTGCAACCTGCTTTTCATGGCCCGAGCCAGCCCATCACACCTGGCAGGTGGGAGTCACAGACCAAGAGAGAGGCTGCAGTGCTTCAAATGCAGGAAATGGGGACCCAGGACAGAGGACATGAAGCAGGAGCCAAACACACCTTCCTCACACTTGGTGAGAGAGAATTCATTGATCTTCCCCACTGATAATTGTGTATTTGTGTGTAAAGGCATGTGGGCTTCTGATTCTGCAGAACATTTTTCTCTGCAAAGATCATAACAAAGATAGAAGGTGCAAGATGAAACTCAGAGATCATAGTGAGCTTTCAGACTTGGCAAAAGCAGTATAATACCGAAATTCCTACACCTTGGTGAACTTTTGTCAGACCCAGGACAGGCACAGTAGGGGAGGCAAATGTATGTGGGTAAGGGACCACAGCAAGACTTGCCTGGTCCTCTCTCCTCAGAGCAGGGTTCCAGCAGTACCCCAGCTCTGGAGCCCATCAGGTCACTCTGTGCTGCTCCTCCTCACCATCTTCAGTGAGGGCAGCAGCAAAGCCACTCTCCTGTTCCAGCCAGACTCAACAAATTCTGCTCTGGGACAAGCAAAGCATCAGGTTGTGGTCACAGCACTTAGTTCAGCCTGAGATTTGCAAATTCAATGTTTTAGAGTTGGTTGGTTTTTTTTCATTTCCAACAAATGTTGTGCTTTCAAGTCACCAGGAGGTGGTTGGTTGCCTCTGGATTTCTGAGTAGGTAATCTCAACCTTGTGTACCACATACATTTTTTTCTCTCTTTTCTCCCTATTTTGTTCTTTTGCAGACTTACCCTGAAGGAAGGTGGCAGCGGGGATGCTGCTCCAGCCTTCTCCAGGTGCACATGTGCATGCAAAACATTTCTGCCATGGCAAGAGAAGAGTAAATTCTCCTGTGAACTCCCAGCAGGGAATCCAAAATACACCGGCTCTTCCTTTCCCTTGAGGACAATTTCTCACTGCCAGGCTGCAGCACTGTGTTGCACTTCTAAAAGATCGTCAAACACTTCTGCTCAAAATCCACTTATTGCTAGTCATTTTATTCGGATTGGGAACACAGGTGCAATCCACATTCCTTCCTTGACACGCTTTAACACCAATAATTCTGCCCTTCAGCAGAGAGGAGGTGCAGTGCTGCCAGGCCACCCAAATCAGGGTGAGGAGCAGTTATTATTACTGCTGTTCTGCGCTGTTGATACTGCATGGGGGCAAAGGCAAAAGATAAGCCTGTGTCCAATCAGGAGCAGCAGCAAGAAGTTCCCAGTTTTTCACTGTTCAGTGAAAATCTCTTTTCAAAAGTCCTTCTGATAAGTGACTGCACTTGTACAGAGCGCTGTAACTTGCAAACAGCTCTCCTATCCTTAGCTTACTTAGCTCAAAACATCTTTGGTCAATGGCATAGCCCTGGGAGATCAAAGGGAATACATGTTTTATCCCCTGAGAACTATGAAATGCCAAATGATAATTATAAAAGTCTAAAGTTGTGTTACTTGTTGCCCTCTTCTGCATGCAAAAAAGCCCACAACCTCAGTGAGACTGGAACCCAATGGCAGGAAAAGATGGAAAAATACAACAGTGCTAACAGACCTGCAAGAGGCTAAGACTGAATTCAGAGAGGCTGAAATAGTTCACAGACACAGTGATCCTTGTGTGGCGGGGCTGTACCTATCAGAGATGGGATCAGAGGAATGCCAGCTCTAGCAAATTCCAGGAGAGAAACTCCCATTTCCCATCGGGCAGCGTGAGCCCAACAGCCTTAGACACATCAGTTCTGCAGCTTTCTCTCTGGCACAAGTATCTCCACAGCAGGGAGTAAATCTAGTCCAAGTGAGATGGGGCTGGTAAGATATTAATTTGGTTTTAATATTGTCTCCTTGCTAGGCAGAAGAGCTCTGGCTGAAAGTTTCACAGAGGAGCTCACTGCAAACAGGGCAGGTCTTGCAATTTTCCATTTTTAAACAGATTTATTGTGTTCTGGATGTATTATTTTCAGAACTACTGTTCTCTTAACTGAAAGGCAAATAACCCACTGGCTTAGTTCCCATGCTGGCACATGGCTGCCTGACTGGCCCACAGAGTTTATCCAACTCTTATTTTCATTTCCTGGTGTATTGAGTCAGATCTGAGTCCTGCTGCCTGCTTGGATTCGTTACCCCACACCAATCCAAAGAAAACAAGATGCTCAAGCACCACCCCTCAGTGGTTAGAAAGAGGGCAGCGAGAGATGAGCTCTGCCAGGTCCCTTCCCTGCCCAGGACCATGCTGGGGCTTGGAGCCAAAACTACAGGAATTAACCCCAAGTTGTGACACCACCCCAAGTTTCAAATTGTGCCAGAGGAGCAGACAATTTTGCCAGATTTGAGAAAGGCAGGTCTGCCTCCTGCCTGCTGTGCCAGGGACAGGACACACTGCAGGAAGCACAGGAGGAGCATCCCCCATGCCCCAGAGCAGGGGTTGTTATTGCCAGGGGCTGTGCCCAGCACAGAGCAGCAGCTCCCCGTGGTGAGATCCCTCAGGAGAGAATCCTTCCCTGTCCCCACCTCCAGCAGGTATCAAACTATCCCTGGGAGCAGTGCTGTGCCTGGGACTGTCTGATCCCTGTGTCTGAGCAGCAAGTTTGTGGTGATGTGCAGGGTCTTAGTCACAGACCCACTTTTTGAACCCCAAGCTCTTAATCTAAAGGCAGGATGAAGAAAAGAAAGGACTAGATGGCTAATCTGAAGCACTGTATAGAAATCCTCATATTTTATCAAGTGTTCCTTCCCTCTGAAAATCATAATTCCTTATTAAGTAATATTGTATATCCTGGAGCTGTGTGCTGCTGCCAGATATTGCAGGAGTGCAGCTATAGGAGAAGGTTATTACCACACCAATGCCTCAATTTTCTAGAGTCTTCTACTGAAAAGGTGAAAACAGCACAGAGCTTCAAGGACCTCTGTTAAAACAAAAAGCTGTCTGCCAGCTCAGGGAAAGGAGAACTCCAGCACATCTGCCCTTTCTCAGTCCAAAAGCACTCTGGCTGAATTATGGGACAGGGAAATTTAGCTGGATAGAGGCTCATAACAAACACTGAAGATTTAAGTTACAGATTTACAAGGACAGGATATCAAAAGAATTCCTCATTAACATTAAAGGAGTCCATGTTACCATGCTAACTGATGGAAAAGAAAGAACAAATGGATAAAAAAAAAGGTAAACAATAGTTATATATTTGAATTTTCAAAGAAACTGTAACTACAAAGGAAACCTGCACCAATGAAGCAACTTGGTTATTAAAGCTTGCAGTACATGGGATTTTTCCACACACATATGGGAAAAATTCCTGTCAGAAAGAAGCGGCTCATTAAATCCCTCTGGGGAATTTCACTTTCTCTTGGCTGCTTCCGCTGCTCAGAGAAACCATTTTCCCACTTTCTCCCAACTCAATCAAAGCAGTATCCTGGAAATCTTCAGAAAAAGCCAAACTGAACTGATTGTTACGGTAAAGAAAAGACCCAAAATCTCTAAATCCAAGGGTGCTGAAGATTACATACAGATGTCACAAACACTTTTAAAGCTGTGCTTAGTCATGGCAAAAGCACTTCCTCTCCCCTCTGACAAAACCACACCGCACTGCAGACTTTGGAGAAAGCTCTTGGGAGGAGACCTTCTTGTCTGGCCCTGGCTACACACTCCTGGACAGCCACCAGCTGACAGAAACAACAGCTGAGACACAAGGGGAGAAGGTTTAATCAGACCTTTCAAACCTGAAAGGCAGCAGGTGGCCCATGGCTGATGGTGTATTAGCCCAAGAAGCCGAAAACATCCATCTTTCAGATTAATATTCAATTTCTGGTGGATATGATCCTTTAATATCAAATAATCTCTTTGTTAACACTTTCTGCCATCTAGGAGATGCCACAGGTGCTTGTGTTCCTGGAGCAACTGAAAGGAACATGGTGGGTGCATCTTCAGCTGGGAGAGCACAAACCCCTACCTGCACCTCCCAGCCAGCCTGGTCAGGGTGCAGCAGGCAGGTAAAAGAGAGGCAGGTGAAAGAGCCCTGGGCTCTGACCAGCCCAGCCAACAGCCAGGACTGCACAGGTGGAGTTTAAAAGCTTCAGCTAGAAGTGGAATATAAGAGAGGGTTCAACAACACATCCCTAAATCAAAGGGCATGGTGGCTGCACAATGTCTCAAGGAAAAAGGAAGGAGAAAAAGCAGTGGGAAACCTTAGGAAAAGACAATGGAAGAAAAGGGCTACAATTCGGGAAGGGAATGTGGGAGAAATGAGACCTACAAGAAGAAAAGCATCATTATTATTCACCCAGTGCTTACATCTGGGAGACCTTAAAACCCCTTTGCTCTCACCCTGCTCCAACAACTACAGCTCCCTGATTAGCTCAGCAGGGCCACGATGAAAAACCCAGAATTGATCCACAGCCTGTGATCCAGTTGAATAGCTCATAATGCTGCCTCTTGCTTAGAAATACGCTTTCACTTCAAAGAAAACATACAAAATTAGGTGGTCATTAGCAGGAACATGCATAATGCAATGTGGGACAATAAAAAGCTGCAGCTTTTGTGTCAAAATGGATTAAGGGCTCAAAGTAATATAACCCATTAGAGCCTTTTATTTAACATAAAGAAGATAAGTGCCTTTTAGGATGCTGAGAGATACATGCCTGAGCTTAAATTGGAGTGGGACAAACATTCTGCTGGTACAAACCAGCCCATCCCTCTTGCTGTAGAATTACATCAATTTTGCATGAGGGAGTGACAAATAACTTTTTTAGTATTATGGAGTGGCTGTGCAATTATTCAAGATGTGCCTGTTTTATGAGCATGGCATCAATCTGCCCAATAAGGAGTGCTTGCAGAAGCAGATGGTAAAACTTTGCAGCATGAACACATTGCTCTAATTCTTAGGAAAAAAGTGGGAAGGTAATAGGAATGATACCAATTAAGGATCCATCACATAGGATGGCTTATCTATATCAAGTATGTCAACTGTGACTCATATAGGCTTCAAGTCTGGTTCTGCCAGAGTCTGTTAAGCACCAAAACTAAAGAATATTTAAAAAAAAATTGAAAGTGATGGTCTTTGCAAATTAAAATAATACTTTGAGTTATGGATACAGACAGTAACATCTCACTCCTATGAATCTTAGGTCTTTCTTTGTCCTTCTCCCTGCTGCTCTCACCCTGTACTGGTTTTGGCAGCAGATCCTGGGTAGGACCTGTGCAAAAATATCAGTGGGCCAAAGATCTGTCACGAGGGCTGGAAATCTGCTCTGAGGACATGTTTCATTCCTGGTCACTTCAGCCATAGCAGCACTTGCTCAAGAGTGGCCACCTGGACTGCTGCTGCCCCACACCTCAGAGAAACTTTTGGTGACTCTTGGGAAGGGCTTGTGCCACCATTAGCTAGAGAGGGAACCTCAGAGTCTCAGATGGGATGATTAATTCCAAACACCCATTTGTGAGATGAATCCCACCCCACAGGACTGGGAGAGATCTCATGAGAATCCAGTCTTGTGAGCAAAATATATTGTCCTAGTCCCAGGCTAGCTCCATAATACTGTTGTCCAGTATCATCATTCAATACTATCCATCAATACTATCATTCTTTGAATTTAAATTTAGCTTTTTTTTCAGAACAAGTATTTTCTGAACTTCATGCAAAGCTTCTTTGGAGGGTATGTTCAAAGACAATGTGCCAAAGGCATCCCAGATCTGCTGTCAGCTGCATTTTCTGAACACTTTTAAAAAGAAAGTAAGAACCATTTGTCACACACCCAACAAGTTAAAACAGAATAACAACACTTCAAGCAGGTGCTTTCTGGATTACTAAGGGTGAGTTTTAAATGAAACCCTTTTGATGACCGTCAGTAATTTCCAAGTTTTTGGAAATTTGGGTCCCTCAGCATGGAAATGCAACACTTACCCCTTTATGATGGAACATATGGCCCTCGACATACACTTTATAGGTCTCCACCCCCAGCTCTTTTGCCAGTCGGAGAATCCGGTTTTGGGTAGGTCCCACATAAGATCCACCAACATCTACATAATTCACTTTATCGTTCTGTGGAAAAGAACACAGGAATCAGAAGCTGTGCAGGAAGCTCCTCAATAGAAACATCTAGAAGCAGAAAGAATTATTCCATGCTGAACGTGTATGGAATGTATGGGTATGACATTCAGGAGGAATTTGTTCATGGAAAAGGTTGCCAAGCATGGAAATGGGTACAGGGAGGTGGTGGAGTCACCGCCCCTGGTGATGTTCAAGAAATTCACATTGCATTTCTTGTCATTGCAAAACATTTCTGCAGCTGAAACCATCTCCAGCATCAAGGCTCATTTTCTCTCCCTAGATACCTGCCTAGACTTAATGCTGCAGGTGCTGAGCACTGCACTGCAGTTTTCCAGGAGATTAATCTCCTTCCCAGCACTGCACTCCTTGGCTCCAGCCTGCTGCTGTCTGGACAGGGACCCCCAGCCATGCCTGCCACGAGAGGTGCTCAATGCACCCCTCAGACCAGCACCCCACTCACTTGGGAACTGAGAAGAAGGCAGAAGGTTTCAGGGATGCACACTATTACAGCAGGCTGATCTCCCAAGACAGTAACTCTTTTCAGCACTGTTTATAGTGAGTATTTTAAACCTGGCACTCTCAGTGTCACAGAAGGATGGTGTTTATGCTCCATGTTTCACACACAATCATTTCTGCTGGAACACCACTGTTTATCTCTGGCTCCCCAGCAATGGCACGTGACATAATTTACACCTCCCTCAATTCCAGGGTGGGAAGCAGAGGTAATGTCTGTATTACATTACCCTGTGCCACAAGTCACTCTTCATTTCTTTCTTTTATTTTTTTCTAATGGCAATTGAGATGCAGTTCATTTTTAGAAGAAGGAGTGTTACTTCAGATAATTTTAAGACATTTTAAAACATACATCTAAGCATAATGATGTCTGGCCCTGCTCAGGCTGCTTCTTACACAGCTCTAAGTTATCATGCCTGTTACAGAATGCAAAGGGAGATGGGAAAAAGAGGGGTAATTTTCTGACACTCATGATCCCAGATGATGGTTTTCAACACATTATTGAAGTCTAGGTAGACAATATTAATTTTTCTCTCATCTACTAAGCCAGTCACTGCACCTTAGAAGGCTGTCAGGTTGGCCAAGCAGGAATTCTTGGTGAACACATGCTGACTGATGACTTTTGGACTAGTCAAAGAAGCTCTGTCACCTTCTGAGGGATTGAGCTGAAGCTGTAGTTCTCTGAATCAAAATAATTGCAGTTCCCTGTGTCAAAATAACAGGAGTGACATCTGTCACATCGTAGACCAGCACAAGTGAGAGTCCACATCCCATGAAGCACTTACCCTGATAGTGAATGTCCTTCCTCCAACTCTGTCCCGGGCCTCAAGGACCACCACACTGACCCCAGCCTCAGACAGCAATTTGGCAGCTGACAAACCTATCAAAAAAAAGAGAATTAAAGCAAGTGGCAGCAATCAGCCACATTAATGGTCAAAAAACTGAACCTAAGATTCAAGGTCAGAGATTTCAATAGAGTGGTCCCAAAAATCCCTGGGAGAAGTTAGGAACTTCACATGGCATCTCACCACAGAAATCATGTGGCTGCTGCTTAGCTGCACATTATAACCACTCACAGCATTCACAGACTGAAGCTTCCTCCTTGGGTTGGCATTTTGGCCTTTTAAAAGCAGCAAAAGATCAATTATTAAGGTACAGACACACATCTTACTCTTCATTTGTGCAGCCTATGGAAAGGCAGCACCCAGCTTGGGGGACTTGCAGTGCTACAGTGACATCAATAAAGCTCCTCTCCCACATCAACCCCCTGCTCCTCTGCTGTCCCTTGTCCTCATTCACATGCAGAAGGAAAGTCTGCTTCACTGTCAGGATTCATTTTCAGCAACGGAGTTTGACCATGACAATCAAACAGGCTGCATGTAGATACTTTATAAAAGGAATTATGGTCTCAGCAAAAATCATCTAATTATGGGACTTTGTGATGGAGCCACTCTGGAGACAACTGAAATTCAATAGGACAGGAGACCTCTTTGCTTCTGACAGATGCAAGCTGAAATTGTAAAAAGCAATCATGAGTTGGTGAAATCAGATTATCCCACAGCCCTGCAGGCCAATTTGGCACTGAAGCATTGTTTCTTTGGAGTTGTTTCCCCTCCTTAAGTACACAAAAGGCAGCCCTATTGATCAGAACTTCCAGGATAGCCTGCAGGCAGGAGTAACCATATTACACTCATGTTTATTACACTACCTTGAAATGTGATTAAAATCAACTGCTTGTGAGCCTAAAGAAGGCATGTCTGAAAAGACCAGAGGAGAGGAATCATCCTGGGAAGAGTTAAATATACTCCTTTATTCTAAGGGCAATGCAGAATTGACCATAAACTTCTATGCATAGAAACTTTTAATGGGAAAGTGAAATGCCATTCACTGGAAACCAGAACTGAGGAAGTTCAAATGTCTTACATAGGCAGAAATTATATATATAATTTTCATACTCATCTAAAAGTAACTTTACACCCTTGAACCATATTCTTCAGATTGCTGCTGGAGCAGAAGTATACTTAATTCTTCCATCTATTTAATATTCTAATTTTTTTAATTGCAAGCTGTTTTTCAGTGGAATGGATATCTTATAAATTGATCTAATTTATTTCAGTGATAATTTTTTTCCTCCATGAAACTCTAGAAACAATTATTTTCTAGCTAATTATTTAATCTGTTGAGAGATGGTTTCTCTTCCTCCCCAACATAAATGTAGAACTCACAAATCTGTGATGTTGAAAACACATACTGCAGTATTTTCTTACAAATACATGATTTTTTATATGCAGAAAAATGAGATTTCAAAATGTACAGTGGGTTTTGTCACAAAATAGTGGATATCCTACATACATAAAATAAAAGGCTGCATTATCCATTCTGTGCAAATACCACTGGACACTCAGACATGAGTGGGTAATTCTTTTGTAAGAAAGTTTACTGTAGATATACATGCCTTGAAAAAATTGAAAATGAAGCCTAAAAATGTCCAGCCTAGGTATGAAAAAAACCAAAATTAAATGCAAACCTTTGTGCCTAAGAACATAATTTCATGCTGAATACAACAGCTCTATTCCTGCCACAATTGTTTAGGAAGAATAATGGTTACACTGGACTGAGTTGGAAGTTAAGTTCACTACTGGATTATAGCTTGATTATGGGATATATCCAAATAAAGAAGGGCTGCTAAGGGATGAAGAATGTGTTGTAATGTGCCTCAGGTTCTCTAACCTGCTTGCCTGTTAAACTTGTACTCCAGACTTACAGGTGGTTAAGTTTCATTATTGTTAACCCAATGGTCATCTGAGAAACTGGTTCAAAAAAAGAAAAAGGCTTTGAAGCTTCATAGGTTGGGAAACAGCAAAAAATAAAATGAGACAGCAATGGCTTACTGGGAACTGGGAGAGGGCATGACTCACAAGTAAAAACAATAAACAAAATATGTTTATTTAAGATTACTACTGCACATTTATTTGCTCAAAGCATGGAAACTATTTTCTTTGAAAATAGAGAACTAGGAACAACACCCACTCACAGCATCTCCCTGTCTATCCCCATCACTGTCTGTTGGACCCACCTCTTTAGCTCCATCCTGGTGAGACTGAAGTGTACCAGGTCCAGGTGCTTCCACAGGTTTGTCTAAAGTACAGGTCATGAAACCTCCGTGCTTTTTACACACAATTAAACTCTAAATTGACTGCATATTTGCCCTTCATCTTCTGCATAGCTTGAGTTTTCAAGACTTTTGTTGCTGTTCCAGTATCCTGGACAGGACTGGACACCAGAGAGTGACCATTTGATTGATGGGGTAAGAATGAGAGAGGAAGGAGTGAGACCTTCTCTTTTCCTGCTCCTTGCCTCATCCCTGCCTGCTCAGCTCCCCTCAGGCTGCATGGAGCTATCCTCTCACTTCCTCTACACCATCTCCATCCCAGAGGACATCACGAGCCTCAGCAACTGCCAAGGAGCAGGGAAGAACTTGTGGATGCCCCATCCCTGGAAGTGCTCCAGGCCAGGCTGGATGAGGCTTTGAGCAGCCTGGTCGGTGGGAGGTGTCCATGCCCATGGCAGGGGTGGAATGAGATGGGCTTTAAGGTTCCTTCCAGCCCAAAGCATTCCTCACAGGCACACTATCCCAGGCCAAAGGGAGCACTGGGCTCGGTGCTCAGACGCAGACACCGCAGTGTGTGACCGTGCTGCAGACACTCCTGTCACAGCTCAGCCTGGGGCTGCGTCACCTCCACCTCCTCCGAGTGCAGCCTTGAGATAAAGCTGGAAACCACCCCAAACCACTGGACAAACTCCTTCCAGATATCCCCCTAACCCCATGAATTAGAAATACACTACTTGCCTCAGCAAAATGGAAGGAGCCTGCCAAAACCATGCCTCATTTGCAGTGTCTGGCTGTGGAAATTCACTTATTGTTAAATGAGAACAAACAAGACCAGACATCCTCCACGAGGGTTTCTATGGAAATCTTACAAGCAGCTCCCTTCCTCTGAAGATGCCATGCAGGAAAGCTCTGTTCCTATTGATTTTGCAGTGCTATTAAGGACTCAGAATTGCCGCTGCTACAGATCATTCTGTGGCTGCTTTCATCCCAGAAAACTGTAATAATCCTACCACAAGCAAAGCCCTTTGAAGTTCATCAAAACACTGGGTATATAGTAAAAAAAAAAAAAAAAAAAGAAAAGAAACTAAAATGAATTGATGCCAGCCTGCAGATTAGAAGACACACCCCATGACTGAAACATAAAACCCTACTTCTACCTCACAGAGAAGAAAAGTTCACCTCCACAGGTCACAAAAATCACTGGGACTTAAGAGATTTGAACTTGATTCCAAAGGAGTCCTGTACTGTGGAGAACGGTTTCCTGTTTTGTAAGGAAGTTATAAGAGTAGATTTATGAGGATAATTCCAAGTTGCCTCAGTGCTGGGGTTGATACAGGACACATGAGCAGAGATGAGTTCTACAGCACACTGAGAGTTTTGAAAAAGTTGCTTTATTGGAAATGTCGTAGTGATTGCATACTTTTCAAAATCTAGGCTCTGTAAATACAGAACTTCATTAGAATTCATAAAATTCTTATTAATCCACCCTAGTGTACATGGCATTGGGTTAGCCACATTGTGAGAAAGATGTTTAACTCCTTACTGTAGTCTTCTAGCAGGCTTTAATTGAGGAAATGGGGAAAAATCTTCCTGTAAAATCCCAACATTTTTCTGATCTTGAGTGGGGAACTAATTCTCAGACTTTTTTTGCTCATTTTTCTAATATGCATCAGAGTAAAATAAGATAATTGGCAATACATTACTATTGAAGTTCCAATGTAATGGCATTCTAATGTTGTGATTATTTTTACTGTTTCATTGATGGAAAAACCTAACAATCGAGTAATTAAACCTGTCAATGACCACCTTAAAATCAGCTCTCATTTCTCCTGCGAGAAATCCCTTTGGCAAGTAAAAATGAACCAGTCAATAAGAGATGTAAAACATTTCTGCCATGACCACAGGGTAAAATCTCCCTTTGTCACCTCTTTATTCTTCTCCTGTAACACCAATTACCCTTTCACTGGAATTTTTGTGTGCATCATAGCGTTTATTTAAGTTTTAAAATACAGTTAAAATGTGCTCAGTTACATCAGATTGACCAGAGCAGCCACTAATGGGCAACAACACACAGAAAGCTGAGAATGAAAGAATTGTTTCTGTTCACTGAGTAAGGATTTAAAGATTCTCAGTTGCCACTGAATATATGTGTAAAACAAAATAAAACAAAACAACAATGCTATTAATTCAGTAACAGCATCTTAAATCCACACAAAACAGCAAGAATGCACAGTGTGGATCACAAGTCTACATTTATTTCTATTTCAGTGCTGCCTAATACCATAACATCACTCGTTTTCTGCTTGTCAGAAACCGTGTTTTATCTTGCCATACTTCCTTTCACACCCCTTCTTGTAGAATACTTGATACTGGAGAGAGATTGAGTTTATGTATTTTGTCATTTTCAGCTAAATGTATTTAATTTCTTTTTCATCAGTATTTTTTCCCTTCTAGGAAAAAAAAAAAAAAATCCACTTGATTCAGCAAAGATCTTAACCAAAAGAGAATAAATATTTTTTATTACAGAGTACATTGTCCAAAGGAGACCAAGCCACTTACTGGTTTCAATGGCATCACTGTCTAAATGCTTTCTACAGATCAAGCCTTGTTCTGAAGGGCACAAAGACAGTTCCTCATGGACAATGTTAACAGAAATACAGTGGGCAGGAAGAGGGAATTCTATCCTAAGAATTAATCTGTTCCTCTACACACCCACTGGGATTTTCATGCCCACAGCTTCTTGCAGTTTACATCCCTTCCCCAAAGTA